GTTCGTAAGTTATCGCGACGTATACAAATAGTTTTTGTAAATCTACTGAATGTGTTTAAAAATAAATGATTATTTATTTATTTATTGATCACATACTTACTTATTTATCATGTATGTAAAAAAAGCAAAAGGAAGAAAAAATCAAAGAAATAAAAAAACTATAAATTAAGTAACAAACAAACTACCGAGAAAGCCCGAAATTGTTTTGATAATAAATGTTTTTAAAACTGAATTATTTGGATGAAATTTTGAAAGAAAATTAGAGAATTACGTATTTATTATAATTTCTGTCAATCTGATGAAGAATATATCCACGTTATGTGGTATTGTGTTTTTAAATTAAATTCAAAAAAGAATATTGGTATTTAAGAAAAGGTATTGGTATTATAACCAGACTTAACACACGTGTATTGCTTTTTAAGAATGGTATTGTGTCCTTAAATTAAATAACAACCAATTAACAATTTGTGAAATACTTTCAATCTAAACTCTATAACTTCTCTACATTGAACGCGATTTAATGAATTCGATTACAAAAAGCTTTTTCAAAACCAATTCACTTTTCAAATCACAATCAATTTGAAAGCAATTGAAAAATTGGCACATACACATTTGTTTGTCACTCCTTTCACCGATTTTCTCTCTAGCCTGACCAATAATGTGGAGGCATGCGTAATACCAATTCCGATAAACAAAATGAAGACAATTTCTCAACAGTTGGAGGCATTTTTTGTCCATAGGAGTATGTACTAGTAGTATGTGACTAGAACTAATTGCGTGCTCACTGCAAAATCATTTCAATTTATCGCCTCGGGTTGATTTTATGCTATACTTGTACATACCTGTACAAACATCCATATTAATGAAGCAGCAAGCAACTGCTTGTCCCCCTCCCCCTCTAAAATGTCCATCCCATGTGCGTGCAACACACACACACACACACACACACACATGCACAGTGGTGTTTTGGGATACGCGAATGTGAATTCATTTCGCTGCACACTGAACTGACGGACTCTGAGTCTGACTCTGAATGGCCGACTGGATGGCTGGCTGGCCGGCCCATTTGGCCAAGTCGTGGCGTGTTGATTTATACGCTTCAATCCCACATTTTTATTTCCGCGGCTGCCATTTAGCTAAAATATTTCATATCTGCCATCGGAACGAAGCAAAGCTGAAAACCTCTGGACTGGCCCACAGCACCGTAATTATGCGATTTGTTATTCGAGATTTGAGGCGATTGTGACTGTGAATCATGTGAAGCTATAGCTACAGCTACAGCTATAGTATATGTATGTTCGATGCGAGAGCAGAGCGACAGAGAGGCGCATATGATTTAAAAAGCGATTTCAATTCTGGCATTTCTGATCAGACTGGACGACGAGACACAGGACGGGACACTGGACTGCACTGGACATGCCTCGACTCGACTTGAGTCGCTGGCCATTTCTTGGTGAGGCTTAGGTTGGTTGGGCGAGGTAGGTTGTACCTACTTGGATGGCTTTGAACGGCAGGTACTCGTATCTGGGCATCGCATGCTGATGCCTGATTCTTATGTCCAATGTCTGAAGCATGCCATTGCATTAGTACGTACACTGAAAGAAAAATGTAGTTTAAAATGAAATGATTGCCTTCTTTGCAAACTCAAAACATATGATTATTTTTTTTTTAATATTAATTTTTTAACAGAGTGTTTTTATTTAAAACTGTCCATCGGGACAATGATTAAATTGGTTAAATAAACTTGACAATTAATTTATTTCATTTATGATGATTTACATTAATGAGAGCCATCCATGCAAATTAAATTAATATAAATATTACCCCCTAATAGCCAGTCACTTACTCTCATTAGATACCTCCCATAAACCATTAATTTAGGTTCCCTTGGTTGGGAATGGTAAAAAGATAATGAAAAACCTGTAGCTGTATTTTAAGCTTCTAATTGCTTAGAATACATCAGATCCTTAAATTCCCATTTTCAATTTAAATTTCTAAACCTATTTTCAAACTAAAATACCACCCAACCATCTAAGAATATGGTAAGTTCCAGCTGGATTAGGAATTCTTAATTCTCTAACGGTCACTACAATCACCTTACTGATTCTATATATTACAATTACAAACATCGACCTATTTGGAAACACCACCATTTCTGTAAAACACATTTTATCTGAATGCGCTACACTTCAGCAATTATCGGCAAAAGTACCCCTAATTCTATTTGACATGGTAGATCATATGCTAAATGGAATAAAGTCGTATAACCATATATAACAATTTTAATTTTCAAACCGTGTTAAGTCAAAACCATGTAAAAGCAGAATTAGGTGTATTTTCATTTCACAAGTCTCGACCAATCCACCGCCCTTTTAGTCCCTCTAAAGACAGTTGTAGTTGTAACGCTAGGATAAGTTAATAAATAAATAATATACATATTCTGTAGATATCTTTAACAAGATAAAGATTAAGGTTATGGGCTATAGCTGAGATTTAACTAGCCATATCTTATAATTTTATGTATTTTTATTTATTTAATATAAATTTAATTTTTTTTATATATTTTATTATTTATTTTTTATTTATTTACTTATTTTAATCACTTTGAAGCTGCACAAAAATAAAAAACATTACAATATGCAACATTATCAACAAAAAGGCAAACTCTGTTATCGTTCCCTTCAGATGGTGGAATTCGATTGAAGGTCTGTTGTAAGTTTAGCTGAAAATTTGCAGTGTAGTCTGCACATAGACACGTACACAGTGAGTATCTGACTGACGTACTTTGGGGGCTGACTGATATGGGTGGATCCCAAAATGCAGTGCGCTGGAAGCCCTGCAGCCGCTTGCTTGTCCAAGCGATGTCCGAAGCGATCTGCGAAGTGTTTGCCGGGGACCAACACGCTTGATTGCATTGCTTGGCGGCAGGCGAAGAGGCGAGCATTGGACATTGGGAATCGAGTCCCATGACTATCTCTTCCTCTTCGTCTGCGTTTTCGTTTTGTCTTGGCCATCAGCCTCTCAGCAGCGTCGTCATTGCCGTCGTCCATCTTAGCGCAAGGTACGTCAGGCACACTGGCAGACACAGACACGCACACACACACATGTACATACACATAGAAACACAGAGACAGACTGATGGAGGGAGACTCGCTCCAGCACTCTCTCATGCGATTCGTTAGCTTTGGCGGCGCATGCGCATAAATCACTCCGCACGTTTTGATCAGTCGCTGGCGCGCAGGCGCGGCTTGGCATCCTTTCTGTCTCCCCGCATCTCCGCAGCTCTGCCTTTTTGCTGCGTTTCGTTGATTAATAATTAATTTGCGTCTTCTCGCCGGCCGTTGCCCATTTCTGTGTGTGTGCGTATATGTGTATGTGTGTGTGTGTGTGTTTGATTGCCTGCGGTTGTCGTTGCTGCTGTTGCTCACCTGACGACGACTGACTCCTTTATAATGAACGGTTTGTTGTTTGCCAGGACATTCGTCGTACATCATCCAAAAGCTTGCGCCCGCATTGCCGGCTGATTGCTTTTGCTCACAGGTTGCTCAGCCTCCTGTCTCTGTCGCTGTCGCTGTCTCTGTGTCGGTCTCAGTCTTAGAGTCAGAGTCGGAGTCGGAATCGGACTTGAAGTCACTCCCAGACTCTGGGCACCTTTCGAACTTTGGTTATAAATTCGCCAGGCAGGTATTTAATACACCCAGCAACAGCAACCACATGAAGGTTGCCGCATAAATTAAGCGAAAGGTGTTTATACATTTCGACAATAAATCAATTAGCAAATTTATAATTATTATTTTCATAAATCTCGCCCAGCTACAGCAGCAGACAACAACAATGAAGCACCATTAAAATATTTTTTAAATGCTGCATTCCAATATCTTGATCTTGATAAGCAAAAAATTCAGCGCAGATTAATGGAAAAGCACTAATTTGTATTATTATTATATTGTTTTTACTTAAAGTTCAAATTTGATTTTCTTGGGAACTCTATAATGAGTTTAGCTTTAGTATTTTAAAGTTTTTGTATTTAATCTGTGAGTCTTGTAAATATTATTTAATCGAATCTGAAGTTTCAGGCTTGGTATTTGTTTAGAATATTGTGTTCCAGAGTTTGTTTTCTAATTAATTTATACAATCATTAATCAGTACTAACCACATTAAAAATATTAATAAATATATAATATTTAATTCTAAATTACTTTAACAAGCTCCTATTTGATTATATTTCAGATTACATATTTTTATATTAATAAATTTATAATATTTAATTCTTAATTACTTTAATATGATTTCATAATATATTAGATTATATATTATATAATTTCAAATTGTTCACGAATGAAAGAACTAAGCAATTTAATTTTTATATGTTATTAACAGTTCGATTATTAGCGGATTTCATTGTAAATCTCCATTGGACAAGCTACAAGTAATTCACTCATTTCCTACAACATTATGATTTCTAACCAGAATTTGAGTTTACTATTTAAAGCTTTTATTTTCACAATTATATTGGCAACATCGGGTTCTAAATATTGGATATAGACTTCCTTGGGCCTTAAAAAGCCTTACTTTTTAATTATTTTCCTTTTTAAAAAATAAAACTTAAACTTAAACTAACACGCCAGAATAAAAATTTCTTAAAATTCGTTCAGTAGTTTATTTGTTCCTTGTCTGTACACCTAATTGAGCGGCATTTCAAGTAAATTCTGCGTTCACTCAACTCAGTTCGAAATTCAAAGCACTCAATTCTTTCAAAGTGAGAATTTCGAACACTTGCCTCTCTCAGCTCGCTCAGCATTTACTCTCGCTCTTCGAATACTTTTCGAACTCGGAAGCAGCTGTTGTCTGTGACGCTTGTGCCTCTACGGATGCTTTTGCAAAGTGTGCTGTGCTAAATAAAGTGAATTTGTTTGTGTAGTGCGCGTTTATTGCACTCCCAATTGTTATTGTTGTTAAAGCCAAGTGCGCAAATACTAGCAGTTACCAATGTTACAGTTCAGACCTTGTTTTGTGTGCTTAAAGCAATAAAACTAATGCACTGCATACCAGCCGGTAAGTGATATGCCTAATTGTTTTTTTTAAATATATTTACATTAATTACGGCCCTGACATTTGGTATTGCTGTTACATTAGTGGTAGCGTGCAACAAACGGGCTAAGTTTAGTTATTATTTAGCTTTTATTTAATTTCAACACAAATCTCTGTTTGTTAGCTGCATAAACAAAGCGGCTAAAACAGCTGTTTTAAATGCTTCAACCTCTCTACGTCACTTCGAAATGTGAGAGTCAAAGAGAGATTTTCGAAAAACATTCAAGACGCGCGCTCATATTTGTCGAGTGAGTGCGTGAGTGTGTGAGTGTGTTCGAAAATGAGCATTTTTTATATATTTGCAGTCGCTGTCGAATTGAGTGGTTTTATGGCCGTTACAATTGAATTTTATTTTTATAACTTTTAGATTTCTTTGCGTAAAAAAACAATTGAGCTTGTGGGCTAATAAATGTTGCTTTATATTTACATTGTAATAAATTTTGATACAATAAAGAAATTGTTATATACTTACGTACATACATACATATGTTTGTATGTACCATAAAAAGTAAATTTCGTGGGTAGATAAAATCTTAATTAACTATTAGCTGACTGAGCACACAATTGCTTTATTACTTTGTTCACTCTCATGGCTTTTGGCATGAAACAAAACCGGTTATATATGTATATAAATTTATTTTTTCGTAATGCTTTCTGTCTAGGGCGGAGCAGAAATTGTGCTTCGTTAAATGCTCAGCTCCTCTAGCAAGCAGCTCAAACGAACTAAGTTTCTCTGTCTCGCTCGCTTTCATTTGGCAACATCTGCATTCGTACGCCTGTCAATCAATCACCTGTGGACGCGGCCATCTCTCTGGCACAGCAACAAAAACAACAACACATTATAGCAGAGGACTCACTCAGTTCTTCATGCTGTTGTTGTTGAGAATGTACATTTTGAATTTAAAATATTCTACAGAGACCTACAATAGGAAATTAAATATTTTTTTTAAATTTTAATTTTATATTTTTATAATATAATAATATTATTATAGGCATACAACAACGTTTTAATGAACTTTTGTAAGCTAAAAAGCCTAAATAGTAAAAATCCAAACGCCTCTGACTCGATGGGGCAATTTTGTTTGCCATTAGTGATAAGATATTGCTGGAATCTTATAGACAATTTGTTTATCGATTGTTTTTTAATCAATTCTCTTTTCTTTGCAAGCAAATTTTGTACACTTTTAGAAATTCGTTGAAAATTTAGGTGCACTGAGAGCAGTCTGCTGCTTTTATTTGCAGTCTGGGATGATTTGTGAATTTTTTCTGCATTGAATTAAAAACAACAGCTTTAGCGAACACTTTATATGGTAGTCTATCTCCCTCCCTCTCTCTTTCTCTTTGCAATATTTGAATCAGAAGGATTTTAAGCCCGTACTTGGTTCGAAAAGGTGCCTAACTCTTAATCAATTGGAACTATAACTTGTAACATGAAGATAATGGAAATATTTCAGCTTGTCAAGTTTTCTTCTGTGATTTTCTGTTATCAATAGAATCTTCATAAGCTTTGTAAGCTTGGCCATCAACTGTTTAGACTTTCACCGAATGATTTAACCATATTTCCGAAATTATATTATCACAAAAAATATACATCAAATTTGATCAAATCAATATGTTTTTAGCCCTGTATCAACAGCACTATTTATTGATCTATTAAATAAATAAATAAATGTTTAAATATCCCACAAATCCCTAAAGTGTTACAAGGACATTTCCACTCATAACTAAAAGCCTTTTTTGATTAAAAAAAACGTTGCGAGCTGCTATGAAGAAGTCTTGGTCTGGTAAAAACAACGTTAACGTACAAAAATTTTAAATAATTTATCAGATTTAGCTCATTTTGATACAACCTTAGCAGCAGCGTTTCAGAATCATTTTTTTAAAGAACCAGAAGAAAAGTAAAGGAATATGCTTGTCTTTAGACTCCACAACGATTATTTTCCAGATTGCACTTCGATCAAATTTGTGTTAATATTTTTCTTGAGATCTACCCTTTAATCTCTCGATGGCTAGAAGAGAACTAAGTCCATTCAGCGGACAGTTGCTTTGAACTAATTTCAGCCATTTGGGAGGTTGATAAGATGAAGAAATTGTAAATTCCTTTCTAAGAATGGTGCTGATTTGAATTTTCATTTACAACAATATTTAAAATATCTTCGGGTAATTTCAAAGCTGGAGAAGTATGGTTGTTTTTCCCTCCAGAAAGCAGTTCTTACCTTCTGGACCTATTCCCAAAGATGTAAATACAGGTTCTTCAAAGAACCAAAAGAAAAGTTAAGGAATATACTTGTCTTTAGACTGCATATATTCCTATATATATTTACAATTTTTTTTTTATCTCAGCTCTAGGAGCTTTACAAGAACAATTATTTTTGTGCCAGCATTCCCAGAGGTCATTTCAGCAAAAATGGAATTTTAATCAGCATAATTTTCAAGCAAGAAAAACATACTACCGAGCTGGCCACCCTGCGCCAAATGCGCGCTCCTGATCCTTGATACTGCTGCTATTGTTGTTATTGGTGCGTCAGTCGCCGCTGATGTCATAAATCTATCAAGTTTAATGGCCGCATCAGCACTGCACATAATTTTATGTATTTTATGCTGCAAATGGTAGTCAAACACCCACAACGACCCACACAGCACACAGTACACAGCAACCCTCTGGCCACCCAACCCCAAGCCCCAGCCCCCCTCCGCCACCGGCCTAGCAGAAAGGACGAGCGCACGAATTTCACGCACATCTCAGAAGACTCACAAATTTCATAAAGTGGCAATTCAATCAATCAATTCTGACAGCAACCACCGGCTCCGGCTGTGTGGCTGTTTGGTGGTGGTGGGCTGTGGCGCCAGGGTTGTTGGACTTGGCCATTTTACCGTTATGCGCACGTACACAATCACACAATTCAACTGATTTGCTCGAGCGAAAAACAAAAGCAGAAACAGCAACAGCAACAGCAACAGCAGCAGCAGCAACAGAAACAAAAAAGTCCGTATGCATAAATTTTAGCCCTGACATTGGCGCAGCGTTTGCAGAACGGGCACCCAACTTTTCCTTCAAGATGCCAAGACGTCATTTAGTCAGTCAGTCAGTTAGTCAGTTAGGCAGGACGAGCGCCGAGACGCTGCCAGTTGGCAGTTTAAATATTTTTTAATTGCCTTTCGTGCCAAAAGAGAAAGACTCGCACATTAACCTCTACACCCCCATCCCCATCCCCACCCGCCATCCACCAACTACCACTCAAATGAAATGAGCAACGTCTTCCCCACACCACCCCATCCCGCCGCAAGGCTCTTGTCTTCAGTGCGCCGAATTTAGAGACCCACCACCCAAATGACAGACTTTCCAGCCTGGGCCCAGGCAGCCCTTGCCCGCCTTGTTCGAGCCCAAGCCGTCACTTTTTTCTGTTATTATCCTTATTTATTTGTGTTTCGTTTCTGTTTCAATGTTCCTTCGCTGGTCCTTCGTTTCTGTTGTCTTCTCTGCGTCCTCATAGTCGTCAAGGGCTTTCAATAAACTTTACAAAAATGCGCTCGAACAACTTTTAGGCAAAAGCGTTGAAACAAACATGGCAATGGACTGGACAATGGAGATTAGAATTTAGAACAAAGGCGTTATAATGATGTTTCGGGAAGAGAACTTTTAGAAATTAAAGAAGGATCTTTACCTCTGAAAAGTTCAAGCCATCTTAGTTAGTCATTTTAACTCCGCAAAAAAAAAACACTGTCTTCGAAAGAATGCTAAGCTCTACAGCTAGAAGATGAGAAAAAGATCTTAATCCACTCCACATTTCTGGCATCTTAGGTAGACATTGTATTTACATCTTTGGGAATAGATCCACAAGTTAAGAACAACTTTCTGGAAGGAAAAACAACCATACTTCTCTAGCTTTGAAAGTACCCGAAGATATTCTAAATATTGTTGTAAAATTTCCAATTTCTTCATCTCGTCAACCTCCCAAACGGCTGAAATTAGTTCAAAGCCGGACAGTTGGTGAATGGACTTAGTTCTCTTCTACAAGTAGTTCTAGTTCTCTTCTCTATTTGATATTATTGATCAGCATGTCTGTCATGAACCTATATAAGTAAAATAATCTCTATCCCTCTCTCTCTCTCTCACTCTCTCTCTCTCTCTCTCTCTCTCTGTCACTCTCTCTAAACTTCAGATATAGATTCTTTTGTCGATCTATATAAACAGAGCAGAGCAGCTATGAACAACAAATTAACAAAAACTTTTGAATTTAAATTTGAAACATTTTTTATTTTTCAAACAAAACGTTATTTACATGCGTGAACAAAATAATTCAGACAGAACAAAATCCATCCTGCTTCCCTTGATACTCTATTGTTTATTTTAAAAGGAATTTATTATGATAATTATACTTCCTTATTATATACATATGTATTGGAAAACGTATATTTCCGCTCCAATTGTTTCTTTCAAAGTTTAATAGAATTAAATACTCCAGCAGAACAGTATTATAATAATTTGTGAATGTAAAACAAATGTTCAATAAAAAAGCACATTAATAGTGAGGCAAAGGTGGAAAGGTTTTCGACTTGTCTAATCGCAAGACACCTCCAAGGCGCCTCCTTTAATAATTCTGGCTGACAGGACCAATTTCGATGCAAAATGGCTGCGCGTCGTAGGCTTATTAAAATGGATTGTGAAAATTAAACAGCAGCAAGCCAATGAAAGGAACCACAACTGTGTGAGAGAGGATGAAATGGAGCAGAGCGGTGGAAGCTTAAGTGCTGGGCAGAGCGGTCGCAGGACCTTCGCTGAGGAGGGCTCAGTAGTGGCGGCAATTACGGAATGATTGAATGGTAATTTCAGCAGAAAAGTTGTGCCGCCTTTTGTTTCGCAACAACTACAACAACACCCACAGCATAAATTCCCATTATTTATGGGGCAGTAACTGTTTGTGATATTTTATTTTTGCGCAAGGAGAGGATAGCGCACAAGC